CAAATATTTAATTGAGTTTGTATAATTAGATTAACGATATGTGTAACATTGAAGTAGCATTAGGTACCATTGATTTTTATAATGTACATATAATCAATGACAGTATCTAAGGATAAACTATAATGTATATGGTGTTTATTTTTTATTTAAGAGTTGTGGCCACCGAACTGTGAACATTATTTAAGATGGCAGGGGGTGGTTGAATTTATATTTCTTAGGTGAAATTGTAATACCTAGCCACCAACTGCCATTTTCTTTGTTGCATACCAATATACCATATATATTTAGTACATACATATTCCTCATAACTCATAAGTCAATCTTTATCAATGAAAAATTGGTGTCGCTGTACAGTACAGTGGACCACAGAATGGATTTTTTTAAATTTGAATTCAAATTAATTCAATGATATACTATCAATAATATCATTGTGTAAGAAAAACAATTGTGAGCGAAGATGATCAGTTAGCCTATGATAATACTAAGTTTATTTGATGATATTTGTATGAATAAATACATAAATATATTATAAGCTATTTAAGTGGAACTCTGTTTTAATTTTTCAATCCTTGGCTTTAAGGGTTGATTATTTTATAACTTTTTAACTACTAAATAATTTGTAAATTTTCAATTTAATACATTTCGTCAAAAATCTTATCATCCTTTAAATAATTTAGTATAACTCTAGTCAAATTTAAAGTTATGAATAAAAGTACGAAATTCATACATCTAATTACATTCTATAATACTCAACATTATCCAATAATGACAAATGACCAACTAAAGACTTTTTTTTTAGATAATGTTGAGATCCAGTTCTAAGTTTTTTCTTGTGTCTCATGTGTAGGTATCACGTATATTCCGTCATCCTCAGCTGTAATACGCATTGAAATGCAACAGTGACATTCACTGAATATATTCCGAGCTTTAGTATTAGAATGCAATGGTCTAAAAAATATTAACCTATAGATACTTACGTGATTTTCCAACTACAGCTGAAGTATTGTTCCAACATTTACTCAAATGACCATAGTCTTTATGTTGTTCGAGACAATTGTCATACATAGCACATTCCTTCTCTACTTCTACAACTAAAATATCGTCCTCGTTTGGCAAAAATGTTGACATTATACTTTTTGGCATAATTATTTTGTTAATTAAGCCATAAATTAAATAAAAAATAAATTGTTGATTAAAACAAGCATGCGACTCATCAACAATCGCATGTTTGAATTGCATTTATGTTAGTCGAACTTCACTTGGGCTTAATAATGTTTCTTATTGTTTTATTTTTTTTTGTTTAAAAAAAGGATGTGGCTGAACTGCACTTGAGTTCAAAAAAGGTATTCCAACAAAAATATCATGCATTTGAAGGAATTAAACGTTTAGAAAACACTCATTTCCCTTCCCACTTACAGGCTTAGGACTGTCAATGATAATCATTGGCGTGGTTAAAAATGATTGTTTTATACATATACCACTGTCTATATAGTATTATATACATATTATATTGAATCATCAAATGTATCTATTTATAATCGTGTTAAAATATCAATAAATACAAATATATAAAAGTCCTTCGTAAGAAATATAATTATCACAAATATAAAAATATTCACCATGCTTATAATCAATTATGCCAAAGTTACCTGTGGATTTGAATGAATGACATATCTTTCCAAATAATATGAGTCATTTATTAATAATTACAAATTGTGACGAAAATATTTTACTCGTAAATGACAATACATCAAACATTTTATTATTTTCTACTGAAACTAATTTAAAAATTTTGAGTTAAGTTGATACAATTTTTTTAGATGAGGTCTTTAAAAGTTGTCCGAAATTATTTACCCAAATGTTAATGGTTTATAAAATGGTAATTATTTATCACTCTTATTTTTTATACTTCCCAATAAAGAAACTAAAACATAATATGAAAAGGCGTTTATGCACATCATATCTGAATGTAGCAAACTTGACATAACATTTTCACCAAAAACATTTTTTGCTGATTTAGAAATGGCGATTCATTTAGATCTACTAAAAGCTAGGCCTTCTTTTAGTTTAAAAGGATGTCAATTCCACATGGCTGGTGGCGAAAAATACAGACAATTGGCTTAAGTAGTGAGTACAAAAAAAAAAACCAAAATCGGTGAATATTTAAAATACTTTTTTGGCTACTATTCTTCAAATTCAGAATTTTGTTTCTCGTTCTCGTTTTCCAAATGTTTCTGCCATTTTTTGTGATCTTCAATTTCTTTTATTAGTTGTTAATTGTTGTCTTCAATAATTCTAATTAAATTTCTATTAATTGTTTTTTATTTTCTTCACGGCTGTCAATCTTGCAAGCTTATTAATAAAGTCTCACTATTGGTTATCGGCCATTTTTTTCTATTTCGATAATCGACATAGATTCAATACAGATAAATCGCTAAACAAATCAATCGAATCCAATGAGCTACTGACTTCGAATTCGAAAACTACCAATTGTGTGACTTTATCAATATAATTGCGAGATTGACAGTCGATAAAGAACATTTAAAAACAACTAACAGATATTTAATTAGAAATATTGAAGACAACAATCAACAACTAATAAAAGAAATTGAATATCACAAAAAATGGCAGAAACATTTGGAAAACGAGAACGAGAAACTAAATTCTGAGTTTGAAGACAAAATTGGGTGCAAAAAATGTCAACTAGCAAAGAAGACGAGAATAAGGAACTCAAAGAAGATTATTCGAAAATGCAATCAATGCACGATGAGCTAAATAAGAAAAACTCACAATTAATATTGTTTATCGGCGACAACCTAATTAAAAAGCTTCCATTGAATCTAATAGAACAGACGAATAAATTTGAACTCACGAATGCAAAGTACAACAAAAAAAATAAATATGTCAGAGAAACGAAACCTACCAGCAACAAATGGTGGATGTATTTATGAGGTGTCTTCACGAAAAATAAATCGACATCGCATCTTTATGAAATGAGTGTACTGATTTGAAACATCACATTAGTGATTAACCAGAAGAAGACTTTATCGGAAATTTAAAACACTAGGTTATTACATTTGGGTATACGTTGAACGAGAAAAATAAAACCATACAAGACATGTTAAAAGCCCAAAGTAAACAGCAGCAGCCGCAACAGCACACAGCAACGCCACGGTCGTCTTTGTTGATATCCGATGATCAATTGCACATTAACAATAAATTAGAACAGCAAATGGACGTACTACTAGACAATATATCTTCCTGGAAAAATATTATTATAGTCTGTTACAAGAAAGTGTTGTACAACATGCAAAAGTACGCCGTCCAACAACAGTCTAAGAAAAGAAACTACTGGATAGCCAAATGCCAACATCTTAAAGATATTGAATACAAAACAAAGTTGACGGAATTTGAAGTATAAAAGGTAAATGTAAGCCCCAAAAGAATATGAAAACAAACTTAATTACTTTAAACATCGACGCTTTCGGGTTTCGGCGGAATCCGTGATATTGTGTGTACATGGCGGAATAAATCAGATAACTCCAACTTAACTGAAGTCTGAAAATATTGTGAATTTTTATGTAAAAAAACCCTACGGAATGCAGTATGTTCCTTGTTCATGTCTGCTTTGCTAACTGAAATTTTAGAATCTTTTAGTCGACTGTGTCTTTTGCAGCTAATTTGCCAATCGCCATAGATTGTATTATATTAGGTAGGTACGTCAATATGATAACACTAAAGAAATATAATATTATAATACAACTTTTAATATCAAAGAGGTCCGTGTTTAAGATTTGTTATTGAATTAATGAAATATGATATAACAATAACCAAAATAGTTTGTAATTTTAAATTTAAATTATAACAATATATAAAGCATTATTAAAAATTTTTTTTAATACATTTATTTGATTATTGATGAAGATGATGTTTAAATATTAGATACGCAATCATATTTTTTTATGAATTAAAAATGTTATTATAAATAAATGCGATTACTTCTTTTTGATTTAACATAAATGTATACAGAGCATAGTGCATAAACATAATGCATCACATTTACCGAACAGACTATACCAACTCGTTTGTAAAATTCTAAGTAAAATATTTTCTCTGAGTACTGTCGAGCACTAAATTAATAATTAATATTTGATGCATTAATTTTGACTGAATTGGTTACGTATATTTTATATTTTTAGACTTATAAGAATATTTTTAAAATTTATATTTTCTTAGTTAATTTCTAATAACTATTTGATGACTATATACGATATGTCAGTTGTTAATACTGAGTTTTAATTGAATAACAATAATATATTAATATATTATGATAAAATAAATTATAGGTAATAGTACAATATATAGGTACTATGTTTTTGGAAAAGTTAATTCAACCCACTGTATATTACTATGAGGTACTAATTTATAGTATAGCTACCTACCTAGTGGGCAGCTATATTAATAGAAAATTAAATTACTTAATATAACTACTATTTAAATAAAAACTATATATTAAATTAATAAAAGGGTACTATTATAGAATTAACTTATCTCTTTTAATTCACTGATAAGTTTGAACCTTAATTTAGCTTGCTGTGATAGAATCACAATTTAAGATTTAAAATTTACTTAAATCGTGGACAGAATTTATGGAGCATGGTAAACTATGCATTGAGATTGTAGATTCAAGAGTAGTCAATGCAAAGAACATCATGTTATGCTCTATTGTAAATGTTAAGTAGTGTCCTCTCACAGATATATATTAAGTAACTTTATATACCTGTGTGTCCTCTTAACTTATTATAACATGGATATGTTTAGATGTTGCTAAAGAACAACACCGTTGTAAGGTTAATCAGTAAACTTAGCTTACATGATAACTATGATTGAAAAAAATTGATAACCATATTATATTTTACAGCTTTAAGTTATAAAAAAAATATTATTTGGATAATCTGTTATCTTATTATTAGTTAGACTACATAAATTAAAAACTTTTATAATATTTTCTTCTTCATTTATTTACATAATCAAATTATTTTATATAAAATAAATCCTACAACTACATAATCTTAATATACTTGTTCAATTTTATCAATTTCATCTCCACTTCTTATTAAATTTAACATTTGTTTTTTTGCCTCAAAACATAATATACCTACAGCTGTAGCAGAGTTCAAGCTTTCTATTCCATTTTCAAGTGGAATATTTATGCGGATACCTTTTCGTGATCTAGCAAACTCGTACCCTTCATCACTCAATCCATGTGTCTCACCTCCAATAATGAGTATCAAAGGAATAGTTTTACAGTAATCTATTTCATAGTAAGGAGCTATTGGTAATTCAATTGGAGCTGTTTTTCTAAAAACATTTACATTTGTGTCTTCATCGATATTTGAATAATCAATGTTGCTCACATTGTTATCGGCCAAACAGACTTGGCCTTTGATATTTTCCAAAAAGCTCCAGCTGACATCTGATATTATTTTCATCCTGAAATGTGCACCACAACCGGCTCTCAATACTTTATCTCCCCACAAATTAGTACAGCCTAAATAACAAGGATTATTGGTTTTGAAACATAATACAAAGTATAAAATTTAACATTATCGGGATTGGGTACTAATAAATGTTGTCCCAGTCTTTGCAACTTGGTAAAAATCATCAATTTTCCATCCATCTATGAAATGAAACAAAAAAATATTATAAAAACATATTTGAATTTAGCATCTTTTAGTGTTGATACTTTTTTGAATTTGATACAATAATTATCAAAAATTTGATTTGAAATTTGAAAATGTAATTTATTATTTAAATACTAACCAAAATAATTTGAAAAATTATCCTGATCATTTCACATACATTAATACTGAATTCAAATCTAGCATATGTTTTTATAAATATCAATCATTACATTTATCATACTGATTAAAGAAAAATGGGTACTTTTTCTATGTTGCACTTATGAAGGACAGACAACTAATATCGGTACCCAATCAACTTGTTGAAAATAATTTTTTTTTCATTATTTACCTTTCATTAAAATAACTTGTGATGCTCCAACAGCTGTTACAGTTCTTAGCACAGCACCTAAATTACCAGGTTCGCGGATATTATCACAGATTACTGTAATTGGAAATGCATTTTTCCGGACTCTATGATCAATAGTTGGAATTTCAAAAATACCTTAAAATTTCAACATATAAAATTATTAAATTACTTTTATGTTTTAATTTTATTAAATGTTACATGTTTATTCTAGTTGTACCCATTATTCCTTGAGAAGTCTCAGTCTCTGAAAATAGTTGAATCATTTTATATGGAGCCTTATAAAATATTGTACTTGTGGCTGGTAAATCTCGTAGTTCTTCGGGTAAACATAAGTTTTCTAATACTCTCTTCTGGCTGAAGAATATTTGTTTTGGCTTCACCCCAGCATTTAATGCATCCTGTATCAGACGTTTGCCTTCCAAAAGTATGCTGCTATTTTGTTGACGTCTTTTTTTGTTTTTTATGTCCATCATAGCTTGACTGAAACAAAACATTAATTTTAAAAGCTATCAAACCATACAACTTATAACTATAAAAATGTCCTTTATCATGAATTTGGAAATGGCACATCTCATACTATAGCCTATACAAATAAAATGATATAGATTATCTAGTACTAACAGGTTTTATAGGTACTAACCTCAGCAAGGGACTAGTTTCTTTAAGTATGAGATATGAAGGGAATCCACTGTTATCTTTTTCAACCACTGACAATATTCCGCTGCGCATATGAGGCTTAATACTGTTCAACGAGTCTTCGTTTGAATGTTTCTTGTCAGACCGTTTTTGAAGGCCTGAATCCTTTACATCCGGCCGTTTAACATCAGACCCATATGCTCGTATGGCAGCGGCGTTGCATACTGCTCGCCGAAAATTGACCGAGAAACTACAAGTAATTGCTTTCATTTTCGACGAATTCCGTTGCAGGGTTCAAATAAATTCTTGCTATGTTTTGTTATTAAATAATTTAAAAGTTTGGGTATGACAGTATCAAATGCCTAATTTTAAATTATGTATGTTTCGAATAAAACAAGAATAAGCAATTACAGCGGTCTACGGCAGTGACTAGCGAGAACAGCAAAATTTACTAAACTTGTACAATACATGAGGAAATGTGCAACAATTTAATTCAAATTTTAATGTATCGGAGGTGGAGGTCCCGGGCATTGATATTATATTATTATCTTATATTTTACAAATAATATTATAACCTGTAAAAACGTGTGGAACTGCGGTGATAAGTGATAAGAGTTGTTATCGTTTATCAGTAGTTCAACAAAATAATACAATTTATATAGTGGGATTCTCGAACAGCTGATGCTGGCTATTATAGCAGCTGTTTCGATGTTTATCTCACAGGATTGAACATGTGGCGTATCACGTCGATTCACGACCATAGTGAATTGTGGTAGTGATTGGTGAGTGATAACTTCTAAACTTTCTACAACCTTAATGGCTTAATGGATATCAGTCGACTCAGTCGACGTCGTACCATTTGTGATTCATGTTCTAGTCTTAAAAAAAAATGTAGTAAAGCGTGATTCTTTTCGATACAACAATAATAATTGTATAAGTTTCATCGACCCTTTTTGGTCTTAATATTTTATCTAAACCGTCTCCAATTTATTATCAATAAACATATATTCAATATGATTTTTCAGTACTTTTACATAAATGATTATGGTATTCGTATTTCATTCTAGCAAAAGACATATTGGCCATAATTCGCCGCCATTCACTTGTTGAGATAATGGATTTTCACACTTTACTCTACCAGGCGCAAAAAAACAACACAAGTGACAAAGATGTAAGTAATTCAAAAAATAATAGTTATGGTTAAAAAAATATTTTGATTACCAGTAGTAATATTACTACTAGTTACATTTGTCTACTTACTTTTACATTCAAACATTCAAACGACCTGTTGACTGTTGTTAAAAATGTATAATCTTGTGCATCCGTGTAGATTTAAATCTACCTCCCTGGAATATATTTCTTTAGAATGTCTAGCTACCATATTGAACAGGATCTCCACAATACATCCAGAAATATGCATTGAGGGCACAACTTGGGTCTTTCATCCTCCCATTAAACACAGATTAGTTACTTCCATACACTAATTGTATTCATATGTAGGGTGGGTTAGGTTAGGTTAGATTAAGTCACCAATTATTATTTTTGAAGGGTCATATTATAAATCTGGAAATGGTTCGTGTGTTATCAAAACTGTTAAAATTGGTAAAAACCAAAGCATAAAAATGATAAATATGCAACAGTAAAATGTTTAATATTATTAGCTTTTACCTTTTTTTCTAGTCTGTGAGCCAGCTAAAATTTGTCCGCCGGCCGCCATTTGGGGACCCCTTGTGTGTAGTTTGTAGACCAGTGAAGCTCAACCTATACCTTCTATTTTTTCATCTTTTCAAGTTGTAAAATGTACAAACTATTGAAATACATTTATTTCCCCAATTTTTTTTTCATTGATATAAGACCCTGGGCGAAATGGGCCATTGGGCTTACAAAATATAATTTAATTGATTCCCTTCATCATATTTTCCTAATTATTTCATCTGCTTTTGCTAACAAATGCCACTTTATAACGAGGTTAGAATATGTTTAAGCAAAAAAAAAATCAAATAGTTCATTACATTGTATAATTGCGCATAGGTATTTCAATTTATTTTCATTAAGAATAAAATGTTTGATACTTTTTTATATTGAACGAGGGCTAACTAAGTCATTATAAGAATTTCAGAAGTGATACCAATTTACTTGACAAACATAATTGCCTCATAATATCAAAATTGCATTCTGTTCAGGTTAAATATTTCAAAGCATCATTGGATCCACCAAAAAAAGAAACAAAAGAAAGTAGACAATTGTCTGACAGTATTAAGAAGTTCTTAGCTAAAAAAGATGAAGAAGATAGACTCAAACAAATAGAAGAACAGAAGAAAAAAGATGAATTAATATCTTTGCGTAGTCAAGATAGGAAATCATTCAAAAGAGTCCAGTCTATGTTAAACCGAACAAAATCAGCAAATAAATCAGTTATTGAGGATGCCAAAGATGATGTTAATACATCTGTTACCATGGCTGGTTAGTACATCTACTTCTCACATTATTATTACATATATAAACTAATATTTTTGTTATGGTTAAAAAAAAATTAGCACTTATTTATTGCTGTTAGTGATAATTATAGTGGATTATAATGTAGTATGGTGATAATTAAAATAATAATAACAAAATCAAATTCATATTATATATACATATTCATATGTTTAATAATTGATTAATTATAGGATTTAATCAACCGGATGAAGATGACTATGGATATGTTTCTAAAGATGCCATGGCGATCTATAACAATATTATGAACAAATATGTAAATACTCCTGCTGATTCTAGAAATGTAAAAACTCCTAATCACAGAAGTCAAGACATTTCTGGTACTAAAGTATGTAATTTGGCTATAGATAAATATAAAATAAACTTATTGAATGTATTGATTGTTCTAACACTGTTTTATCAAATATATCTTATTAATTTAAAATGTACTCAACATTACATTTTTTAAAAATGTCACAAATATTTTCATAGTTTAATGAGTTTTTCATTTGTACACAACATATAAATATACAATAATCAACATAATAATAATAATAAAAAATGTTTAATTTGAAAATTAATATTATATTTAAATATCAGAAAAAATGAAAATCTAGTGCATTACATAGGATTTTTCAATTCATAAATTATTAAAAGAATTATTTAAATTAATTTGTTATTTTTACTTAAATTTGTTGAGAATTTCTTTTTTATAATTGTTGTTTCGTAATAAATTATGATTATTTAATGATTTTTAGGATCGAGTTAGGGCAGCCTTGCTAAAAGAAGAAGAAGATCAATTACTTCCACACAAACGAAAAAGAAAACCTAAAGATTTAGACAATGGTGAAGATTATCAGGATAATGTTGAGCCACAAGAAAAGAAATCCAAACCTGGTGTTAATGCAGAGAAAATCAAAAAAAGGCCGGCACAACCTCCGCCATTGAATTTCCAAGAACTACTTAAGATTGCTGAAAAAAAACAACATGAACCTATACTTATTGAAAAACCTAAGAAAGAAGAACCTTTACCGATGATGACGAAGAAAGAAAGACATAAATACTTAGAAGACAAGAGAATTGAAGAAATACGACTAGCTCGGCTACAAGGCAAGAGCTTACCTATTACTGAAAAACCCAAAGAAATTAAACCAGTTGAGAGAATACCTAAAGCATATTCATCTTCTTCAAAAGTTGATGTACACGTAGAAGATAAATTGAAAAAGAATGCTTCTGTATGGGCTAAAGATTTAAAAGCTAGTAAAGAGCTAAATAATAATAGTAAAAATGATAAGTATGTACCAAGGCCATTAAATAATTCAGAAAGTGTACGAATGAACTCAAATGGGAATAGAACCACCTCTAAAAGTTCAGTTGAAAAACATTTGTTGCACGAAAAAAGGTATAGTTCTAATGATGAACTGTATTCACCGAAACCAAAATCTGTCAGAGATCAATATATACCCAAAACTATAAATTCTATTGATAATAAGTTTTCACCAAAACCTAGAGGTATGCCTAATAATGACAGATATGTATCTCAATCTAGAAGTACATCATCTGACAAGTACTCGCCGAAACCCAAGAGTTCAATGTCATCTGATAAAAATGTGTCAAAACCAATCCCCACTGAAAGATATGTGCCTAAATCAAGAAGTCCACCATCTGACAAATATTCTCCAAAACCCAAGAGTGTGCCTTCAAATAAATATGTCTCAAAACCGACGACCACTGAAAAATATGTGCCTAAATCAAGAAGTCCACCATCTGACAAATATTCTCCAAAACCAACATCCACTGAAAGATATGTGCCTAAACCAAAATTCTCAGGTGATGAGAAATATTTACCAAAACCTAAAAGTACTGTACAACCAGAAAGATATGTGCCCAAGGTAAAAAGTTCATCTTCCTCAGAACAATATACACCTAGTGCAGTTAAGCATTCAAATGAAAAGTATAGACCAATGTCATCTCAAAGCATGAAATCAAAACTTACCAGTTCAAATGACAAATATGTCCCAATGCCAGTTGATAAAAAGTTAGGAAGCAATAACAGCAATAACATTAAATCCAGACAACTCCCACCTAAGGAAATGGCATCCAAACAATTTCCTCCTAGAGACATGGCGCCTAAGCAGTTTCCTCCTAGAGACATGGTGCCTAAGCAGTTCCCACCCAGAGACATGATACCTAAGCAGTTCCCACCTAGAGACATGATGCCTAAGCAGTTCCCACCCAGAGATATGATTCCTAAACAATTTCCACCTCCTGATATGAGAAGGCGAGATGATCGGCACATGCCAATTCGTAACAAACGTCAAGTCATTGAATCAGATTCGGACGAGTATGATTCTGAATTAGATGACTTTATTGATGATGGTCCTGAAGATGAAGCTGATTACTCTAAAGTTATTTCAGAAATTTTCAAATATGACAAATCAAAGTAAAGTTATTTTATTTTAGTTGATAGCTTTTTAAAAACATGTTGTAAACGATATTGTTTTTTTCATTTTTAGATATAGAGGAATGGATGAAGATGATGAATGTATGGAATCTGATTATCGTACTCTTCAAAAAGAAGAGTTTAAAAGTACTAGAGCTGGTAAGGCATATTTTATATTTTGAATTTTGAATTTCATCTAGACATGTATTTATCAAACCTTTACAAAAATAACCATAATATATCTATATTTTGTTGTTGGTCATAGAAATGTAAAAATTTCCCGTTTATATAAATTGCAATTTGTAATTAACTTATGGCTATCTAATTAGCAATCTAATTTATATTAACTTTGCTTATAAATCTTTGTTTTTTTTTTTAAAAGGACTTTTGGAAGATTTAGCAGATATTCGAAGAGAAAAACAAATGATGAAGAAACGAAAAAAACTTTAATGTTGGACCAACTATAATTTTTGTTACCTTAATTTATATAAGCTTGTTTTTTAAGGTTTACTAATCTTTACAAACACAGATTTTTGATGGAATAATGTACATGTATTTTTTACAATGTATATACTTTATAGGTTATTAGGTTACACGTTACTCATTCAAATCATTTTGGGTTAAGCCCCAACCGTCTTAAATCACTTTACTTATTAGACACTAGCCATATTTGGTAAATTTTTTTTAGTAATATTTATCGTTATAAACTTAATTTGCTTTTTATATATTTTACATAAATTAATTATTGTCTAACATTGTTGATCCAAAATGCTAATAATTCTCTGTGTATCTTTTTCTTTAGACCTCATATTTATACTTTTAAATTGTATTGTTTTATTTCTCTTTTGATGATTGCCATTATTTTTTCCAATATTTGAGTAAAACATAATTAAAATTTTGATCATTGTTGTAATTCGGTAACTAAAAGATTTCAGAATTAAATTAAGTTTAAAGACAAAAAATGTCCATAATACATCAAATATCGACCAATAGGTATGTCAATAGTTTTAATAATTATTGTTAAACAACTTTGTTTTACCACTGAGTGTTGGTAAATGTATGATAGTATTGTTTTAGATAAATAAAATATAATAATATGTAATAACTAATAAGTAATAACATACAATATGTGATATGTTCAGTTATATACTTTAAATATGTATTTTTATTTTTTATTGTATAAATTATTAAAAATGCAACTATTATTGTTCTACGTCATTTAATTTTAAGTTCTTCCAGATTTTTGCATGTATGTGGTAATAATAAGGTTTAATCTTTTGTGTTTTTTTTTCAAATATGTAATTAATTATTCTTTGTTATAGTTATTTTGAATAATATATTTTTGTAAATTTATAGGCGGTCTCATTTGGTTGAATATTTTTTGGTGGCATGGGGCTAACTATTATCTAAAGTTGAGTGTACCCTGTACCCTGTAATCTGATAACTATTTATCCAGATATGTATAAAGTTCAATTTGGGAGGCTTTGCTATGCAGATGACCTTTGGTTACGCTTATGATTACAATGTGTAATGGCCGAATTTGTTTTGTCAATTGTTTTTTGTACATTGAATAATATAAATAATTGTTATAAACATGTTAATTTATAATTGTTGTTCAAGTCAATAATCAATATTTTAAATGCAAGTGACCATGTGTATGTTTTTTCACTTGTGATTGAATTGGAAAATATTAAATTGTATAGGGGCAACAAAAATGTTTTGTTTTTATTTTTAAACAAAAATATATTAGGTATACTATATTACATGCCCAAAATTAAATTGTGATTTATAAATTTTTGATTTTTGCTGTGTATGTTTTTAAGTACCTACTCAAGTATATAGGTTAATGAAATGGACTGATGGTAAAAAAATAATTATTGTCCAATAGATTTTTGATTTTTAATGTTGAAACATAATTAACTATAATATAGCCTACGCAAGTGTCATATTTGACCACTCAGTGTGATGGGCCATAGGCGAATCACCTCCCGTCTGAGAATAAGAAATAAGAATTATTTTTTAATTTATTTATATTTATAAAATGTGAAATTAACTGTAAAATATTAATTTATTAAAATTAATGTTACTGTGAAAAAAAAATGTGTCCCTCATGGCATAGTTCTTAAATAGGCTAGAGCCTATCATCCTTTAACGAATAATAATTTGGAAATCCGTATGACACGTATATTTGGGTACACATTCATTTGTGTATATTTTATGTCTATGTGTGACTGTGTGAGTAGTAAATTAATATTAGTGCGTAAATCGATGTCACGTCGTGTCGGCGGCAACTGCCAACGGGTGTAACTCACACGCCCACGCACATGCCACTAAATAGCGAGAATATGAAATTGAAATTGAGCAAGAATATGAAATTTATTCTTGCTTGCTTAACTATAAACACTACTTAAAGCAAAGAGTAAACATTCTTCCAGAAGTTCGAATAGTTCGATTGTAATTTCGAAAAAAATAGTTGCATCATAGCCTTATAAGCTTCTAGAATAATATGCTCTTTAGTAATCACTTTTTTGATTTAAAACCGTATGTGCCTAAAATAATGACAAATTTAATGCAATTATTTCATGGGATTTTTGAAAAAAAATCTTAATTTTAAGCCTCCTTAAAGATTGAAGATTGAAAGTTGACTTCCCAAAGATAGCCTAGATATTTTGCCAAATAATTTATACATTATATATGAAAAATCAAAATCGGACATTCCTAAGTATATGTGTAATGTTAGGTTAGGTTAGATAAGATCTTACCATCGCTTGTTGGTCCATAACGTATGGAAAATACGTGTGCTTCGATTTACTCAACATTTTAAGTAGGTACTTACCTATACAAACGATGCAATTTTTTTCAAATAAAACATTTAGCATGATAAGTTGGTGTACCTCCTTGAGCAACCGAATCACCCTATATAATAAAAATAATAAAATTGTGTCATGTTATTTTTTCAGGTTCAATATTTTATTTTGGCTATGGTTAATTCTGGTCTTTGGGAGTGGTATGGATTAAGTGTATGGGTTTTTGAATTTAGAATTTTTATGAGTCTTTACAAGTGTAAGGGATTTGGGTTGATCCAAGCGTAAAGCCTTGTTTAACTATACCTGCACAGAATATATTTTTTAGGAAGGCTTCGTCAGATGTACTATTATGAGATATTTTGTGCATAGGAAAAAAAAGTTAAAATACATTGGTATTAAATTAAAAGTACAATTATTATTATTATTTTTGTATTGAATTAAAGCCCAACGACTATGGCCATTAGTTGCTTGTAGGGGGCAACGATTGGTTTGGAGCACTTATTGTACCTATAACCTGTTACCTATATGTTGGTCACCTATCCGGGAGCTAGCGACGCTGGCCTGTGTGCACACTCAGAACCCGAACGCAATTGAGTGTAGACACCGAGCCACACCGAGCCACACTTTTATTATTATATATTATGAAGATATTATGTATTATTATAAAAAAATATATAAAAGAAAAAGTTACATAGCGTTACCTAACCTAACCTAACATAATAGTTTTATGCAAATTTCAGATGCATACAGAGATCTAGTCAATGATTTTTATCATTCTTAATATGCTGTATTATTATAATAGGGTATTACAATATTATTATACAACACGGAACAAGTATTATATCTACCAATTTCACCTCAATGCTAATAATATTTTCTTACTTCTATATTGTATTATTATAGGTAGCAGGTACCAACAGAAAAATATGTACAGTAGTGTAGCTAAATTGCCTGCTCAAGACGCCGTGTAACCAAAATATTGTTTCATTGTATATTGTTTTTAAAATTTAAACGACCTGGTAACAAGAAATAAGCGTGTTTAATATAGGAGTACGTGTCCAAAAACAATTATAGATTTTTGATGTCTGTGGTTTACGGTGATTGGCTGCTAGTGTCTCGATTTCATACAATATTATATACACACAACCTATGGACAGTGACGCCAATGTTTGGAAATGGTGGTCGGGCGAAATCATAATTCAAAGGCCACAATACTATTGTTAAGTCCAGTTGCGTGTAACATAGGGTCCAAGTGTTGCTCTGGAAACACCTTAAATATGGGTGGGTGGGTATGTCTTCTTCAGTTACATTAATGGATTTGGACGGAGCCACGATACGTGTGAGCAATTAGGTAGGTCACTACGCTGCAAGTCGATTGACGAAACGCTTTTTTTCCACGCCAAATAATAAGGCGTTAACCCCTATAAAACGGAAATTCAAGCACCGTCCGCCAAGTAATATAGAGTAATAGAGTGAGAAATCCTGACCGAATGCCAGTCGTTTATCCTGCAGGATACGGATGCTGTGAAAACGGTCACGGTGGTAATAACCGAGAACACGGTCAAACCTAGACGCCGTTCACTTTGGCACCGTATTAACAATTTTAGGCGTGAGTTGTGCCGAAAAGTTGCTGTTGTGACCGCTGCTTTCTACAGTTTGTATAGCGTTTAGGTACCATCACCTCTAGACTACAACTCTACCATAACATTTTAAATGTTAAAATTGTTGTTGTAGATAGGATTGTTGTAAGCTTATAAAAAAGTAAACTAGCTTAATTATTAATTAAGCGCTGTAAATTGTAATGATTTAAAACAAAGAGTCGAAAACCGTGGTTGGGTGTATATAGCAAGTCAGTCATCACCGAATATCCACGGTTATACTGTCATCGTTGGCCATTATATCACGGATAAATTAAAATACTCGATTTAGATGGTCGATTCTCAATATCATGCTGCTATTGTAATTTTATACTACGTATCATCTAAAAATGGCATATCTAAGTCTAGTGGAAACGCACCTTTAGGTATTTTCAATGTGTTTCAGGGGCGTTATCGCTGTATTTGAGATAATTTCAAGCTGCACGGCTTTAGCGTTACCGGCCTAACACAACTGCTACATAAACAAAATGGCCATATCAACACGACGGCTACACACACAATAAAAAGTGGTCAGGCCATGGACCGGCGCCACTGCAGGGTCTGGCGCGGGCTTGAACAATAGACGATCGACGTATTTCATACCAATAACATATTATATTATTATACCATACTGTATTATTAATCGATTTGGAAAAAAGACCGAAATACCTGTTCCTTCGTTGGACGGAAAACGAGGGTGGTTTCCTATATTTGTGTTGAATTTCGAACGGAGCGATGATAAATCGTCGTTCAACTCAAATAACCATTCAGCGTCGGCCGCTGAGACCAAAAATCGTCAAAACTGCAGCAGGTGTTCTCTTACTTACGTTTCATTTCATCGCTCATTTTTCCTCCGCTAAGTTCTTTTCACGGTTTCATCAATAACCATGCATATACTTTGGGAAACATTACCTCTTTAAAATGCAATCTGTATCTGATCCAATCTACTGCGGCGGCGGTGGTGTGTGTTATGTAAAACTTTTTGGGGTTTTTTTACTTCACTGTAAAGTGTTTTTCGATAAAACAATAAGAACACTATACCTACTTATAGCTGTGTAAAGCCTGGAATAAAGGCTATAGCAGTCTACCTGCAGTCCCATTCTGATAAGAATTTCGATTGCGTAGGGGATACCCGTTGATCCTCTTACTGCCACACGGTATATAATTTGAGGCACACAGACAAACTCTTCCATAAAAACAAAAATAAGGTTATAGGTCGTTATATATTGTATCCGATACGTACCGT